CGGCTGTCAGCTCGCTCTTAGCGCAGCGCCGGACCGCGGCAGCGCCCGTGAGGGAAGGGGCTGTTACTTCAGGCCGGAGGCGTGGATAACTCTCTTCTCCCCAGTGCCAGAGGGCGGGACGACTGGCACGGAGAAACGGGGGGTTTAAATCCCGGTATGAATTGGGCCCCACACGCTGTCTGGAGGCACTGACAAAGGCTGAAAATCAAGCACCGAGCGACCCGCTGAGGGTTTGTCTCGCCTCAGCTTTGGTGGAGGCGGCCCTGACAAGTGGGTCCGTGTCCCAGGAGGTGCCCTGAATAAAGTGCTCCAGAGCAGCTACACAAAATAATAATTTCTTGTGAGTTGCAAGTGCGATGCTTGTTTTTCAGCTGACCCCATTGGTAGGTCTATAGGAATCTGTATGTACTTCTTGTGCATTACATTATTATGAGTATTTTCCTTAAAAAGGTTTCGTTGTTCAATTCTTACCTGTTTATTCAGAAACAATCACATGCTTATCATTGTGAATGCTCACTTTCTTCTGTAGCTGGCTGTAATGAAGTCCGTGGAATTATTGTTTCTGATTGCCATGGAGATTGAACTTCATCCTTTAACATATCTTCCTTTCTTCTGTCCCATGCAGATGATTTTGAAGAGAAAAATCCCAGCATAAAGAAGAACAACTCAAAAGCTCCAGCTAGGAAGAAGGAAGAAGATTGTGATACTGGAGTTTCCAACTCAGCAAATAAGCCTGCAAAACAAAAAGGGGCGAAAACACTAGTAAAAGAAACTAAAAAAATTACTAGAAACAAAGGGAATTGTAACAAAGAGGAAACGTGCAAGTAAGTTTACTTATCATTCAAGTCTATAGGAGCTTTCTCTTCATGTTGTTTGTTTAGGGCCCAGTGCTGCATATGTGCATGCCAGCAGTTTATTTTAGGCTATCAGTCTGATTTAGTACATTTGTGTCACATAGCTGAACAGAAGTACTGTCTTATTCATTGCAGAGTCAGTCCTGAGGAATATAGTCTATATGGGAAGCAAATATGTGAGCCTTTTCAAATTCAATTGTTTAAATATAAAATTTTGTTTCACTTGTTACAGTTTTTACATGGGACTAGGGAGGCATTATGGAATCCAGCATGAATAGAAATGTTGGCCTGAGATTTGGGTTTAAAATGATGAACAGAAATCTTCAAACATACCATTCTTTGGTGTTTTTTGATCCAAATATAATATCAGCATGGTTTGCCTGTGTAGATTGCTATAGCAAATGAATTAATAAAAAGAAATTAAACTGATTGGTCTCATTTCATTGGCCAGCCAGAGCCTTGGGTATTAGTGTAGTGAAACAGAAACAGTTCCAGTTTCAGTACACTTTGAAGGTTCAGTAAGAACAAATAATTCAGTGAACCTTTTCTCCAAGGACTCATTTGTACAAGCTGTTATAAAGGATGGGCTTTTTTGTAGGTTCAGGCATCTTTCCTTCCTAAACATCCTTGCAGAATCAGAACCTAAGTTTGCACTGAAAAAAATGTTGCTCCATTGAGCCCATGGTTATTTATGACAAAGACAGCTTGCTTTACAGAGAAGGTATCTGTGGTTTAATTGTCAAATAGTCAATCTGTTGTTACTGATGCAGAGGTCATGGTTCATTGGCTTCCCTATTTTTAGTATGTTCTTTCTCTATTTTTCTTGAATAAACAAGCACCTACATTTCCTGTTGGTAAAGACATTTTGATAATTTTAACAGTGACTCGCTGAAGACCCCTCAGAAAGACACAAAATTGAAGAGAGAATCTCCTGTTAAAAAAGAGGTGAATGAAGACAATACTGACGATGATGATGATGAAAGTGAAGATGAATGGGAGGATGTGGAAGGTAACAATTTTATATTGATGCACTTTAAGGAGTATTCTTATATGCTTTCTTTTTTTAAATTTGATTTTTGAACCATTTCTCATTTGGATTCAGGTAAATGTATATATCCTGTATACCTAAAGTATGCTCCATGTGCATATCTGTATCTTTAAAAGCTCATGTCTCACGATGCTTTTAGAATGGTTCCAAAGTAGAAAAAAGCCAGACAACTACTAACCTTATGGTGGTGCCTTGAATTTGACTATTTGTTGGCTTACGTTAAAATTATGCTGCCCTGCACAAAGCACTTTCTCAGCTGTTTGTGTTCTCTGATACTGAGCAGCAAAGAATAGTCGGTTTGAAGATTCAAAACTGCAACTTCCCAGTAAAGGAGAGTGGAGATGAAACCAACTGAGCCGTTTGATTGGGTGGCCATCAACAAACTGTGACAAGACTAATGATGATCATAATATTCTTATTTTGCTGCTACAGATTTATGCCTTCTAAAGTGAATACCTATCAGTTTTTTTCTTTGCTACTCTAGAAGTACTCTTCAAGTCACATCTACGTCAGTCACCTTTCTCCTGATTGAGTTTGCTTGTGACAGTCACTTGTCATTAGTCTGTTTGAGCTGATTCCTCAGCAGCAGGTGACTGGCATCCCATAGTTATTTGAAATAACTGAGCAGACACAGTATTGTGTAAGATCCAGGAGCTGGTAAGAGAATCGGGATATTCTGTTTGTAGGTTGTGTGAACACTTGAGAAGGAATACGTAGGTTCTTATCCCATTGTCAGACCTCCCTGGGTCATCTATTCCGTGTTTACTTATCATTTAGTAATATTGTATTTTTCCAGAACTCCAGGAACCTGCCACAGATAAGTTAGAAGCTGCTGTTCTTCCGGCAGTGGTGCTGCCAAGCAATCCTGTCGAGATAGAGATTGAAACCCCACAGCAGATGAAGAAAAGAGAGAGGAGGTAAGAACAGGGAATATAGTGGAGGGCCGTTAAAGGATGAAGTTAAAAATATGCTGTCTTGACTGTCACTGACTTGCTTTTTTCTGGGTGGAAGTCCCTGCTTTGTGCAGACTGTTGAGTTGGAATGATGTGAGGTCATGGGATGGAGAACAGTTTACACACTGACAATTTTACCAGGAATCCTCAATGGAAGTTGGCAGGAATCGAGGCTTTTCAGCTTCCTTGAAAATCAAGCATGTAACTTTATTGTGTTTTAATATCTACATTTCCAAACCAGGGACAGCAGTAACTCTCTTCAAGGAGAGCTGGGGTGAATGGCATTGTTTTACTGTAAACATCTTAACAGCTCAGGTGGAAGCCTCTGGGTATTCATACCTGAGGTGTGAATAGGTGGGTCAAACTAATGCCCCTGGCATCTGGGAGCGTTATACCAAGGAAGGATTTCTTTGTGTGGCAGCTGGAGGCCTGATGATGTCCCATGCTGTTACAGGGTGGGCACTTCATAGCAAAGCAACCAGAATATCTATTACCTCTAAGTTGAAAGACTTCATCAGTGAAGAGAAAACTGTTTTTCCAGGAATCTGAATGGAATGCTAGCAGTAAGCTAAAAGTCAAACAATTCAGACAGTGAATTATAAGTTTATTACGGAGCTGTCCAAAGCTGTCTGGTAGGAAACTGTAGGCACATTAGGTTAGGCCATCTGAATATACCCAAGCTCTCAGTAGTCAGGTACGTGGAGTTCACAGTTTATTAGTTGTGTGCATCCTGCATGCCTGTTCACATAGCTAGTAACTAAACTTTTGTTAAGTGTGCACAGAAGATTCTCTGGGATGGATTCTATTTGTGAACTGATCCAGTTCAGGAATCTAGAAAGGCAGGTCCATAGAAAAGCCACAACATTCATTTCTTTTGTAATCCTATGCAGAGAAAAAAGGAAAGCTGAGTTTGAGATGTATCTTCGGAGAATGATGAAACGTTTCAGCAAGGAGGTTCGTGAGGACACACATAAGGTATTGGTCACAGAGAACCCTGGCAGAGAAAAAATTGAGCACAAAGATGTCTGAACTGATTTGTAATGCAGAAGAAAAGAATTTTGATGAAATCATGGGGGGCCATGGCTAGAATTGAAAAAATAAAAAGTCAGTAGTCCTGACAAAGGCTCATTAGAGTTCTAAACTGTAAGTTAGAAACATCAGTGTCTGCATTAGTAAAATTCTAAGTCAAAGCAGATGTGAGTAGGGTGTATATTTCTCTATTGAGTTTGTATCTGCGCATTCTGTCAGGGGTAAACTGTCAGTCATGTAGAGCAGAAGACACTGACAGGGACTTCAAGGCTTTACTGTCTTCTGATGGTGATCTGAAGACAACGCTGTGTCCACCCTGAGTATGCTTGGGAGGATTCATTGTTGCCTGTCTCTGTTAGAAGCGGCAGTAAAGCCTTCCTTGTCTTTTACCCTGGACAGTAGTTCCAGCAAAGAAAATACCTTGTGAACTCACCGTAGAAACTTTTTTCTCTCAGGTTCACCTCTTGTGTTTATTAGCAAATGGTTTCTATAGAAACAGGATCTGCAGCCAGCCAGATCTTCATGCCATTGGTCTGTCCATCATCCCCACCCACTTCACAAAAGTGTCTGCAGGCCAAGTGGACCTTCTCTACCTTTCCAACTTGGTGAAATGGTAAAATTCTCTCTCCTAATCATGCTGTCACGTAGAATGTAGAGACAGGGTTCAGGGAGAGGGGTAAATATGATTACCAATTTTCAGTGATTTTTCTGTTTTTAAATACGAGGGTGAGAGTCTGTCCTTTTTACAGAAGGAAAGGGTGAAGTATGAAGTTTCACAATACAGTCACAAACAATAAGTAGGTGTCTCATATTTCAGGTTTGTTGGAACCTTCACTGTCAATTATGAGCTTTCCACTGAAAAAGGGGAGTCGCTTCAGTCAACCTTGGAGAGGCGCTTTGCCATCTATGCTGCACGAGATGCTGAAGAGTTGGTTCATGTAAGTGACTGGGAAGTGCAGGATCAGTTGCTGAGTTTGGATGCTAGATCAGTGCTGTAGTGCTGTCAGGTCATACACAAAGTGGTGTTTGAGGGATGGATTTGGAGAAAACAAATTGGTGACTTACGTGATTCCATGGCTTTTTTTTTTTTTGTTCTATTTTTATCTGGAGTCCTGTGATTAAACTGTTCCATTTGAACTGTGCCTAACTGGAGCCTCTAGTTCTGGTTGGTGTCACTGCATGCTCCGTGTTCTGCTGTGGCTGACTTTATGTGTAGTGTATAGCTACTTGTTCCTAAGCATGCTTTGGCTTCTTTATATGGATCAAAGAAAAAGATCAAAGAAAACCAGCTTAATATGTTTCTTCTGAAATACTAATTTGAGCGAGGAAATTCTTGGGCTTATTTGCAGCCAGAGAAACTCTTTACAGATCTTTGGGTTGAAGGTTGGTAGTTTGTTACTACGAGTCACCACTGAAGGCCAAAGGAAACGAGCTTTGATTTAGAGCAGCCCAATGACAAGGCTTCAAAAGGACTTCAACTCTACAGTCATCTTGTAGTGGAGTTGGATTAGGGGAAGAAGTGGAGTCAGTTGCTTCGAGTCACACAGATTTTGGTAAAACAGCTGAGGGAGTGGGAAACACAGGAGATCAAATTGACATTTGAAAGAGCAGAAACGAGCTGCTGCTTTGCAGGTGCATGGCTTGCAGCTCTGCCATGTTGCTGATAAAGTGGAATGTTGCAGCTTCTCTGCTGCAAAGCAGGAAGCAGTTGTTGTGGTGGCTTTGCAGTGGAAATGCAGAGATGCCACTTCCTGGGGCAGGAAGAAAAGACAAAGCAAGCCTTGCTTGGGCAGCCTCAGTTGAGTCCCATGTAGGAAGGCAGTTGCTAGGTCACAGCTGTTAGCCACTGAGTTGTGACTGTAATGACATTCTCTGAATGGCTGGTGTTTCTGCTGGGTTCAGCTGTTGGTATGTGGTTGGCTCTGGCCATCTTTGGGAGGCAGGATTTGGAGTCATTCAGTTTTCCTTGAGAATGAGAGACTGATAGGGTGGATGGGATTTGGGTGTCTTAGTGCATTTGCTCCAGCAGGATGGGTCATTTAGCCTCTTTAGGAACTAGTTCCTCATCTGTGAGTTAACAGCAGTACCCCTGTCACAGTAGTAACATAAGTAAGAGCCAGAGAAGACTGCGGTGCTTTAATACTATAGCAACTGGGCTGCCTACACATCTGTGTCAGTGTATACAGCACTGGGTAAAAGGTAGGAATTAAAATGATTGTGCCAGAGCACAGGTTCTAAAAGGTTCAAGAGGTTTTTTTATATACCTTGAAAGAAGGTTAAACATGCTTTATTTTTTCTTTTGCAGATATTTTTAATTATTCTGCGAGCATTACAGCTGCTCTGTCGCCTCGTGCTGTCTTTTCAGCCTGTCCCTCTCAAGGAGACCAGAGCAAAGGTAGTATTTGTTGGGTATGTGGAATAAGGAATAGGTCACTGATTTAGAGAGTAAGATTGAAAAAACTTTTGGCTGTTGCAGCTTGAAGTGAATCATTTACTGCATAAACCAGGGTGATGACAGTGTTCTGTCTATAGTGCAGAAGATGCAAACACTTAATTTTTAGGTTTCTCCTTTAAAAAAAACACGTATTTTGTGTGGTTCAGCAAAGACTACTTATGCTCTAGTGGTTTTACATTTGTTTAAAGCTTAGACAGCAAACACTTGCTGCGTGAGTACACCTCTCTTCAGCTATTTGCCTGAAGTTTTCAAGTCCTTAAGACATGCAGATTGACCATACTTGCCAACCTTTGGACTGCATGCACCTCGTGCTAATTTCAGGGGGTTTTTTTTAACATATTCTTAGCCATGGTGATAAAAGTCACCTTGCCTGTTTCTTTGCAGGAAAAAAGCTCATCCAAGAGGAAATCTCTCAGCGGTACCTCTGAGGGGCAGGAGAGCTCTGCCACAACACCCAAAGCTGTGGCAAAAAAATGCCCCTGCAAAAAAGCCAAGCAGGATGAGAAATCCTCAGAGAATGAAGAAGACAACAAGGAGCCAAAGAAACCCAAAACTGCTGAGACCAAAAGGACACGCAAATCAAGGTGGACTACAGGCAGCCAGGAACATAAGGAGTCTAGTAATGAAGGGAGTAGTTTAGTGGAAAAAGATGTGCCAGTGAGGCCCAAGAATGATCGCCGGAGACGAGTGGCCTCCAAAGTGTGTTACAAAGAAGAGAGTGGAAGTGATGAGGGCAGTGTTTCGGACTTTGAGGTTTCAGAGGAGAGTGACCTCTCTGATGAAGACTTTGAAACTGTTTCTAAAAGGCAGAGGAGCTCACTGGGCTCCCAGAAATCAAAGGTAACGGCTATAAAAAGCCCTAAACCTGAGACTTCAGAATCGAGGCTCTCAAAAAATTCATGTGGAGCTGAGTCTAGGCCATCAAAAAGTACAGCTCCAGCCTTGCCTCATGCACAGAGAAAGAGAAGCAAAATAATTTCTAGTGATGAGGATGATGGACAGCAGAAGGCAAGGAAAGCAATGGGCACAGACCAGTGGCTGGAGGTTTTCCTTGAATGTGAGGACAAGTGGGTATGTGTAGACTGTGTTCATGGTAACGTTGGCCAGCCCCAGCTGTGCTTCACATACGCCACAAAGCCGCTCTTCTACATTGTGGGATTTGATAATGATGGGAGTGTGAGGGATGTGACACAAAGATATGACCCAGTATGGATGACCGCAACGAGGAAGAGCCGTGTGGACCCTGAGTGGTGGAAAGACACGCTGCAGCCATATAAAAGTCCCTGTGTGGAAAGAGACAAGAAGGAGGAAAATGAGGTAAATGGCAATAGGTTATTCAGGACACTTAGTGCCAGGAGTCCAGTCTGTGGATTCTCATTCAGGCAAAAATCATTAAGAATCTTTCCATGAAGAAGGAAGTTTCTGTTTGAGCTTGGAATGTTCAGATTGAGCATATTTTAAAGGGAATATACAATGATAGATTAAAATAATATCAAATGGAAGCTATGCAGAGAAATTTACATAGCAGAAGTACTGGAGAGCCTATGCTGGAAAATTACTAATGTGGTTTCTGTACAGTTTAGCATTACCCTTCTTGGAGAGAGTCTCTAAAATGCTTAGATCTGGGTATATATCTAAGTACCTATTTGCAACAAGAATGCTTTGGTCTGTTGGCTCATCTGATTAAGTTTCTGGTGGTTTTTTCGTTTGATCCGTATTATAATCATTCTTACTTTCTTACAAAGGGTAGTGCAAGAGAGTTGTGAAATGACTCTTCTTTGTATAATTCCTACAGTTTCAAGTTAAGCTTCAAGATCAGCCTCTACCAACAGCAATTGGAGAGTACAAAAACCACCCTCTTTATGCACTGAAGAGGCACCTCTTGAAATACCAGGCGATCTATCCTGAGTCAGCTGCTATCCTAGGGTACTGCAGGGGAGAGGCTGTCTACTCCAGGTGAGTTGTGCACATGTTGTCATGTGCGACTGTGACCTTTATAACAAATCTAAGGGCTAATTTGCGTGAAGACCACAATGGTAGCAGCAGTAGTCTCAGGCCACATGCAAAGACAGGGTGAGGCATTTAGCTGCTCAGACAGCATTTGCATATCACTTAGATACAGCTTTTCTACCATTCCTAACATGTGAGTAACAGGTTGGAAGGCTCTTACGGAGAGACTTCAAAATTCTTACAGTTGCTTCCTTCTGGCCTTTTTAGAGATTGTGTACACACCCTGCACTCCAAGGACACTTGGCTGAAGCAAGCTCGGGTGGTGAGGATTGGAGAAGTGCCTTACAAGGTAAGAGAGTTTGACTTCTTCCTGTGCAACACATCTGTCCTCTAAAGTTCAAGCTCAATTCTGGTTTGGTTTTTGCCTTCTCTCTGCCAGCAGATGTGGATTTCTCGCTTGCATGGCTTGTGGTAGCTGCTTTGTGAATCTGTCCACATAATATGCCTATAGTTCCTATATACTACCCAAAGCCCAGCTATCTCTTCTTCCCACCCCAAGGGTGTCTAGCAGAACTGAACCCTTTTCACCTTCTTCAAAGGCATCCTAGTGTTTTATATGAACTGCAGGATCTGGCTCCCTGTTGCACACAGGTGCCATGGGTTATTTATAAGCAGTGGATACTGAAGCTAGGAAATAGGCATTTCTTCTCTCCCAGAGCCTTCTCCTTTGACATCCTAGAAAGTTTGAAATCACTGGCAGCTTCTTGCGGTGGTGTTACAGGCTCGGTCATTGTATTTGCACAGATGGTGAAAGGATTTTCCAACCAGGCGAGGAAGGCACGCCTTGCAGAACCTGCAAACCGGGACAAAGAGGACCTGGCACTGTTTGGTCGCTGGCAGACAGAGGAGTATCAGCCGCCTGTAGCAGTGGATGGAAAGGTAGCTAGCAAGGCAGAGGGCTGGTGTTAAAGGAAGTGTTTGTATGGAGCTGTGGGCTTTGTTTTTCCTGAAGTTGCACGTTTCAGAGGTGAGATCAGTCAATAACATCTGGATTCAAGATTAAGAGTTCAGAGGTAACTGCACCCAGGAGGAAATGGTCAAAACTTCACTGAGGCCTTTCTTCCCTGAGTACAAGTAATGAGTGCTAGCAGTGCAGACTGCTAACTTTATAATTTTGTTGATCTAATTTTCCTACCCATGTTTGTTTTCCTAATTCTCTGCATTACAGCCTGAGTAACAAGGCCTGGGCAGAGAACACAGCTAGGAGATAACCATGCAGCTAAAATCTAGGCTTGTGCCTTGTCATGTGAATCTTAATCGAATACTGGAGTGGAATGTAGCAGGTCAGAAGGCAGGAAGAGTCCCTGAGTTGCAGCAGGAATTTTCACCTCTCTCCAGAGAGCAGGAGTGTCACCATTTCTCTTTAATTTTGCAATGACAGGTTCCTCGGAATGAATATGGAAACGTGTATCTCTTCCTGCCATCCATGTTACCCATTGGCTGTGTACAGTTGAGACTCCCAAATCTGAACAGATTGGCACGGAAGTTGGACATTGACTGTGCTCAAGCCGTCACTGGATTTGATTTTCATGGCGGCTACTCGCACGCAGTGTACGTAAAGCTGCTCTGTTGCAGCTAACAGATTTTCGTGTCTTGCAGAAGTTGTATATGCTGTGTTAAGGAGCGCATGTGATCAGTTACACACTTAGATCCTATGAGACAGACGGTTCTGTCAGTATTCAGTAGCTTTTGGTTTGGCTGGGTTATCAGGCATTCGCTCCCTTTCTTTTTTCTTCTAGTAGCTGACAGAGGATTGTGTTCTCCTTCCTAGTACTGATGGCTACGTTGTCTGTGAGGAGTATAAAGAGGTCCTCCTTGCTGCCTGGGAGAATGAACAAGCAGAAATAGAAAAGAAGGAGAAGGAGGTGAGAATTATTTTTGCAGCTTCCTTATTGTTACATTTATTAAGGAAATTTCATTGGAACTGTGGACAGTCAAACACGGGTGGGCTGCGTAAGCAACAGACACAGAGCTCTGTGACCGTAAAGGGCTACTTGCATCCCCCGAATGCCCCATTTTGGGCTTGCTGTCTGGACTGCGGTGGGATGTAATACAAATGTGTAGCAATATCTGAAATAGTGCATACTCTGGAATAGTTTTCCGTGGCTGCTTGGAAACAAAAATGAGGAATACACATATGAGGTGAAAGTTTTGGAGGTGGTTCTGGTGTAATTTACACAGCCAGGGTGCACATTGGAAAGTGACAGTAATTCATGTATTTAGCAGATAATTGGACACCAATACATTTTACTCTTAAGAATCCTACTGGCCTATAAACTTTTAATGTGACACATTTAAGTTGGCATGGTTTTTTTTAACAGTAGTTTAAAATCTTTACACTTCCGTTTTCTGTGGGCCTAAATACATTGAAACTTACGATAGTAAATTTTTCTCTTTTCAATAACAATCCCACACAGAAACGTGAGAAAAGAGCTCTGGGGAACTGGAAGCTGCTGACCAAAGGACTTCTCATCAGAGAGAGACTGAAGCAACGCTACTCTATCAAGGTAGTCTGCATTTCTATTAGTGATCTCTTTTTTTTGAGGGGGCTGCTTTTTGTTATGAAGTCAGATGTTTTAGTTCTTAATGTTTTCCCCATTGAGAAAGGTGAAAAGCACGATCTTTTTAAAGCAGGTTGATTTTTATTCTGTCATCAAAAATATTTCACTTGTGTTGAAAGAATGCTTGACATCCAGGAATAGAAGCAACCAACTTTTGTAATGTCATTAAGTGTCACTGTGACGGAAGAGAAGCCCTTTTAGAAAGGGGTAGTTACTAGTGATTTCTAGAGCAACCTTTCAATTTTCATGCCTGTTTTTTTCCAGACTGAGCTGTCAGCACCTCAGACAGAGAAAGGAGCGGGATTCTCTTCTGATGAAGAAGGAGGTCCAAGTTCAGAGACTGCAGTAGGGAATGTGGCCATTTCTTGGCCCCAAAATCGCCAGTTAGAGAAAAAAAAAGAAGAGAAGACAACCAGAAAGAGCAAGCGAGAAAAGAAAGGAGAAGCAGCACAGTTGTTCCCTTTTGAGAAACTCTGATGAGAACAAGCTTTTCTTTGCCATTTCCAGATGCAAGATCAATAGTCACAGCAAAAGTATCCTTTGCCAGGGGAGGACTTAGTCTTCCTGTGCACTTGTGTTTCTGAGCTATCAGGGACCAACCTAATTCAGTATCAAGAGTTTCTTTTGCTATCACGGGTAATTAGATTCATGCTTTTATCCTTGGACTTTGGAGAGGCAGATGTGCAGTTGTACCTTCTGAGAACATCACTTTGTGCTGTTGGAGTTTATTGCTCTCTTTTGTATCACTTGGCACGTATAATTCTGGTTTCTGAGGCATTCCTTTCATTAGCACTGCCTTTTCCCATTTTTATCCTTTCTGGTTTTTCCTGGTTGCTCAGAACTAAAGCGTGCAGCTGCTATTTCACACTCTGTGGTGAGCTGGGCAAAGGACTACTAATGCCCTCTGCAATTCATACCTTATCCAAATCAGTGGTGAGATAGAGTTCTGGTCTTACTAACTGTCCCATCATCACAGAAGGGGAAATACTCCCTTTAAAGTGTAAAGAAACATGCAATCAAGATTTGGAAGAATCTGAAAATTTACTTTCTGAAGAATACCTGCCTTTTGTGAAAACTCAGTTTTGGCTTTTCAGCCTACAGTCTTACTTTGCTTTCAGAAACCTTGTGCATTAGAAGGGAGAAGGCCTGTCCTCATTTCAAACTTAAAATTCATTATGTCTTCTTAAGTAATTGGAATATCTACATATTTATTTCAGTTTTGTTTTATCAAGACCATGTGGATATGTTCTGGAGCAAAACATGTAAAACTGGCTGAGTGTCATTGTCAGAAACTAAATTCACTGAAACCAGAGAGTTCTTGTAAATGTTATCTAGTACCTAAGCATTTAAAAACTGTTGAGAGGAATGTTAAATCTACACAAGCTTTTCCTGCAGTTTTGTAATAGAAATGCTGATCTGTCTTTTGCAGTATTTTTATAACTAAATTACACTGACACTGTCTCTTCAAAAATAGAGGGGAATACAGTCTAGTCGTTGTTGGACATTGTCACAGAGGAAAGATTGAAATGCAAGAAAATGACTTACATTTAATCATGTTCAGAGAAGCCTCTATTTTTGTACTGTATTTGTAGAACAAAATAAAGTATAGAAAGAGAGAGTATGTTGTCCATGACATCTCCCCTCTGGCCAGCTCATCCTTCTGTAAGCAGCTCCATTTCCCTGGAAGGCCTCTCACGCACAGCTAAGAACACACTGTAGTATTTCCACAAGTCACAAATAAAAGAATAACCTAGGCTGGAGGCTTGGGGAGTAGATACAACCTGTATATAAGACTTCAAGAAGAATTCTGAATCTTGCATGAACTGGTAAAACTGCAGTGGGTCCAGAGGAGGTAGTTCCTTCGGTGTTAGTCATCATGCTGATAATGCAGAATACACCCTGAGATGAGCACTTTGAATGTGAAGGCCCATATCCAGCTCCTGCTGGTATCGTTAATTTTCCATCAGCTTAAAACGGGAGCTGGTACCAGCTGTACTGAAGCATGCTTCTGCACTTCCTCACTTGGGACACTTGGCACAGATAGGCGACATTAGGAACCTAGTGACTACAGCTGGCAGGGAGAAAGAGACGACAACATATTCAGGTGGCAGCATCCTACATCTCAGCTGCGTAGGCAGCCAGCTCTCCTAACCTAAGCATGCAAAACGTAAAAGTAAGTATGCTTTAAGAGACCAAAGCAGAAAGGGAATATGACTGACAGATCACGTACACATTCTGTCAGATTTTGTTAAGGAAGCAAGAGAAATACTGCTTCAGTTGTTTCTATAGAAACGTTGTTTGTGTACGTGCAATGAAAGCAAGCCTTAGCTCCACCAGCACGCCTGGCCTGGGAAATGCCAAGTTGTTGTCTGTGAAAAGAATCCGTCTTTATTTTGCGTCATTCCTGTGCACACACTAGTACGCAAGACAGAAGTATTTTAATCTGTTGAATGCATAGGTAAACCCGCAGTCTCTTTAAAAATACAAGAGGCTGTATCCAGTCATGTTGAACCATCGTATTTTTCAAATAATCTTACGAAGACAAGGAAGTTACTATTACTTAAGTAGTCAGTAATGGGGAGTAAAACCATAGTAGGCTGGAATCAGCCTTCCATCTCATGGAGGTACATAGACCAGAGAGCAGCTGTGCTGTTATTTGGGACTTGTTTCCCAAAATGGCGAAACATTTGCAGAATAAACAAAACCCAACTTCGCATTTATCTCAACCCACAAAAGAAAACTAGTTCATGTGGAAGCTACAAACTAATCCTCCAAGTACCTGGGCACTATTCCTGGATGTGAAACATGCAATACTTAAATGTAATAAAAAAGAAGCCTACAGACCAACCTTTTGAAAACTGAATTTTATTAAATACACAAAAGCTCAGAACTTGTGTAAAAAATCTGTATCTTCATCTCTAACACGGTAATGCTGGTTAGTTTCCTGCATCATTGGTAAAACAGCCGTCCAACATCTGGTTTTCTCCCCAGCGGAGTGTAATTCTTAAGTGATGGAGAAAAGCTGGTGTTAGCGAGCAGCAGGAAGACTGCACAGCATTGCTAACCCATGCCAGCTCCATGCATGAGACCACTTGCACTTCTGTAACCTTTCACTCACTAGTATTGCTTTTACTAGCAGGACTGAGCCATGAGGCTGAATTGACAACATTCAACTACCAGAAGAATTAAAAGAATTAAGGCTAATAAAGTAATTACTACTTCTCAAAACATTTATAACTCAGATCTCCATTTCAGTACTATTTGTAGAAAACATTTGCTTCTACGTCTGTGAACAGACATAGAAGTTTCTTTGGTACAGGGAACACATTTCTCCTGACAGTCATAACAGGATTTCGTAAATGAAGTAATTATTTCTGTACTGAATTGTGTATACTTACAGAAAAAAACACCACTGTAGCGTAGGGAGGGCACATCTGGACGCCACAGTCTTGCTAGGTGGACAGAGACTTAAAAACAGAACAAGCCAGTCTCTGCTCTCAAGTACTGGTTACAGCAGAAATATGTAAACAGGAGCCATCACAACACTACAACAAGGCATTCCTCTAACGCAATATAAAACTCAAAATTTAGGCTACTAAAGCCTATGAAATCTACTCAGGCAAAAATATTTTCATTGCTTAATTTCATGGAGTATGTTCATTGTCCTTACTAAATGAAATTCAAGAAACAGTATACACAGCAAAAAAACCCCAAATATTTTAAAGAATATACATTCAATTATAAAAGTTAATTTTTTTTCAAGGCAGCAAGTTTTATTTTTAAAGGCTAGTGACCTCTGAGTATTCCCTTAAGTAAGTGCAATTTGAAGTGGTATGGCAATATGCAATGGTATGGCCCATGCTACCATTTTGGATGCTTAACCAAGAACAACTTCAGAGACTTTTTAAAAGTTGGGGGAAATCAATGCTTTCTGACAAATCTGCCCTACCTCAGAGCACTGCTAACCTGGCCACTCATTATTTCAAGTTACTTTGAAAATCTTCAGCCCAAAAGCATATATTTTACATAACTATTGTGTGAAATTCGACTAAGTTGTGTTTTTCCTTTAAACACATACACTTCCAAATGCATCAGCCAAAGAAGTATACGTGACCGTGCATGTAAGAGGAGGCAGCAGAGGGAGGGTTTGTCAGAGACAGGTACACACATGTATTTATTCCCTAAGGATATCTCATCACAGTCCATGTGATGAAGCTGGCACTTTCTCCATAACACACAAGGTGCCCCACCTGTCAGCTAAGCCTTGCCAGTTCTCAAATCAGGGGGAATTAGTAAATGGCAAGATGCACAAATCTGCTTGTTCACAAACTTATAATCAATATAGACACTCCAAAATGCTTTTTTCCTGAAAGTTGGTATCATTGACTTCCTACGAACAGCATCCTATAGTCATATTTTTCATGAATAACATGTATCAAGAGACACATTCAAGCCCTCTCCCCAAGTCTTGGTGCACACTGCTGAACTGTGATACGCTGTGAGCATGCTGCAGTAACCCAGACAGAAATACACTTGAAAAGTTTCTAACCAGGATTCAGTGCAAAACCTGACCACCTCCTTCTCACTGCTGCTTCTTTGGTGGAACACGAGATTTTGCAACCACAATTGGAACTACGGAGAGCAACCCGATCAACAAAGCCCAGAGAGGGCGGTAGAAGAGCCAGCCAACGGAGATAGTCAGGAGTGACAGCGAACTGGCTACGCAGAAGGCAAATGCTTTTAATCCAATGTTAACCAGATCTCTCACAACAGGAAACCAGTCCACTGCAGAAAGAATTAAACAAGGGATAAAGCAGTTGACAAGATGATAGTTTAAAGGCAAGTCTTATTCATGCCTAGGATTTGCACACTAACTATTGCTATCAAAAGATGGACTCAAATTATTTATTAAGAGCACTAGATACAGCATTTCAGCAGAGTATCCTCAAGGCATTTGATAATTAAGCAACAGCTAAATACGTAAGGCAACAGTATCCTCGTCTCTTCAGACAGGAAGTAATCCAAAATGAAGTCTAAAGACTCATCCAAGGCTTGAGAGGCAGAGTAGCCCTGCAGCTATGGAACAAGTCCAGGGCAACTGATACAACACACTAGCACAAAAATTAATATCTGACAACAATAAATCTTGCAGTAGCATGTATATGGATAAATAAATAAGAAAAAAAAAGAATTCACAGCTACAAAGCAAATGATAGCTTTGATGTCTGAAGTTTACACAAGTTTGAGGCACTGTCCTGCTTTTCTGTAAGCTTTTATTCCAATATTTTTCTACGTTAAAAGGATAAACAAAAACTTTCTTTGCTGTTTGTTCACAGTAGTGTAGAATAACCAAAACCCAAAGACAAGTTACTATACAACTACTAATTAAAGACCTCCTGGGTGGACCACTTGTGTATGGCTGTAGAAAGTAATTGGATTGCAGCACCTTGAGTTAGACTTGAAAGAACCAAAGAACCAGCCTAACATGTGCTTCGGCTTCTGATTTCAGTAAGCACTGGACTGGGATCTTCTGAGACTGGCAATAGATATTTGCCTTTTTTTTTTTTTTTTTTTTTTTAAAAAAATGTTCACAAAGCAACCATCTGATTCTGGGATCCTGTTTACCTGCAGTTGCCTACAGTGACTTTCAGATCAAATCCAATCTGAGTTCAAACCAGATTTCTCCTAACCTCCAAATTAATTAATTGCATACATGAGCAAGAGAAGACTCTCTAGGGATTATGATCCTATTTCTAAATCATTTTACCTTGCTGTCAAAAACTTACCTAAAGTGTAAAAGATTCGGGTCATTAGGCTGATGCCTATAAACATTGCCAGCCAGCCTGCTGCACGGAGGGCCCAGGTCTTCACAGTGTTACTCTCATGCTCTTTCTGAAACACTTCCTGAAAACAAACACCATTACATGCAGGCTGTTTCTCAATTTCTTTCAAGATTCTCTTGATTCCAGTGTATTATGAGCAAATCGGAGCCAACAGCATTTTAAGAGTACAAATTCTCTCACAGAAAATATATTGCAGCCCATTCTGTAGGGTCTTTGGCGCAGTATCACAGCACACTACAACAGATTTCAAAGTGCAGCACAAGGGAAACCAGCATTTCTCTAAATTAAGACAGCTAAACAAGCACCGGTTGACACTATAACCACAGGCAGAAAGCACACAGTTTTTGCTGCAAGTGGATGCATTCAACATTACTGTGGAAAATAAGACACTAATAAGTAAATGTAATAAAGGACGAACAATCTGACTTCACTATGTTTGGAGGAAGAGAGAAAAGGCAACAATAGTGCCTTTAGTGGATGAGGGAAAGGCTGTGGATGTTGTCTAGCTAGACTTTAGTAAAGCCTTTGACACCATTTCCCACAGCATTCTCCTGGAGAAACTGGCTGCTCATGACTTGGGATGGCTGTACTCTTTGCTGGGTAAAAAACTGGCTGGATGGCCAGACCCAAAGAGTGGTGGTGAACAGAGTTAAATCCAGATGCTGACTGGTCACAAGTGGTGTTCCCCAGGGCTCAGTGTTGGGGCCAGTTCTGTTTCACATCTTTATCAATGATCTGGATGAGGGGATCGAGTGCACCCTCAGTCAGTTTGCAGACAACACCAAGTTGGGTGGGAGTGTTGATCTGCTGGAGGGTAGGAAGGCTCCACAGAGGGATCTACGCAGGCTGGATCCATGCGCCGAGGCCAATTGTATGAGGTTCAACAA